TAGGCAATACCAAGCTAATTTCTAGGTGTTTACTTGATAGAGCAAGCTTCACCCAAGGAAGCTGAGGGTTGTCCATCCTTGAACCTTTGTGGTTGGGAGGAAACCCACTGATCCTTGGTGTTTGCTTGGTGATCGGAGCTTTCCCCTGGTTAACAGCTTGGAGAGGCAAGGGATTGAAAGCGATCTGGCTCTTAGGAGCTTCTCAACGGAGAGTAGGGTTGAAAAATCTGAACTTCGGTGAAAAATCTCGTGCCTTCCTTAGTTGTGCATTTTTTCCCCTTGTGTTCATGTTACTTTACTTTTACTCTGTTGAAACCTCAGCCCCGAGCAATTTCTCCTCGAAGAAACAGTCTTATGGTGTCGGAACTTCCGATACCAAGTATCTAAAGCTCAGGTCAACTTTCTCCGTTTGAAACAACGAAAGTGAACCTGAAGTTCAGGTCAACTTTCTCTGTTTGAAGTTTGGTGCCTCGGACCTAAAGTTTCGGTAAACATGAATTCGCTGCGAGTGATTTTCAGGAACGCCTATTCACCCTTCGTCTAGGTGAAATCAAGCTCCTTTCATATCCATTTTCGATGTCAACCCTCCGTTTCTTTTTTACTTTCAGGTCATAAAATATATTGGAATTACATAATATGCAACGAAGCCCCTCAAAGTAGAGAACAATTAACATATTAGTCCATGGCCCACTTGTCCTATCCTCACAAACTTATCTTCCTTATCCTGTTCCCGTTGTTCACACCTCCACATTGTCCCCATCACCACCTTGCGATGCCCACTCTCTTACTCCCAAGCGCCATGTCGTGCTGCCCGCTTGTCTTCCTCCGATGCTTCACTACTGCTGCCGACACATACATCCTCCCACACGCCGCTACCTCTCCACTTCTCCCCATTGGTATGAACAGAGCTTGCTATGTCGGCCAGATCGAGGTAGTGGGACAAGAGCTCGGCCCGACGAGGCTGTATTGATTTGATGGGACAGGAGCTTGCTTCAGATTTCTCCAGTGAGGTCGTGTCAATTTCATTGGCAGTGGTCTGATATGCTGTTTGACCACCCCATCTACTCGCCGAAGTGCTATACCGACTCGATCTTATCGAAGTCTCCAAGTGCGCTCACTTTACTCTCCTTCCCCTTCTCTCTCCAGGCCTAGAGCACCAAAGTCATTGCCTCGCCTGCAAGGTATGCACATTCATGTAGAGTTCACACATCCGTACAGTGGTACAAATCCATCCAAGCTAGCTCAAATATTCAGGTGAGACGAGCTGTCACCACATGCCACATAGGAACTTTGGGCATGGCCTAACAGAAAACAGAGACAAATATTGCCAGTTTTGCACTAGCCGACCATTTCCAACAGTAGCATCTACTTCTACTACTTACCTTCGTTGTCTCGTGTTATGCGCTGAGTTGGATTGTGATGTTATTATTGTTGATCCAAGATTTTCTATTGTTGATATACTATTGTTGATGATGAGTTGCCATTATGGCTGATCTGTTATTGTTGATTGAGTCGTGCTTATTCATGTTGAGAAAATGCTTGAAAGATGCATGTCGACGTAGTGCTTTTTGGATATGTTTCTGATGTGAATTTAAATCGATGATTCAATCCTATAAAAATCAATTTTTATTTTTTTGGCCCGAAATACCTTTTCGCAGGCTAGTGACTTAAGGGTTCTGCATACGAAATTTGCTTTTGCAAGCAAGTCTCTTAGGGTGTCCGCATATGAAAATGTGGATGGAAGTCCTCTTAAAAAAATCAATGATTTTCATATGCCTTTGATTGCAGGCATGGAGTTTGGCCTCTTGCAAAAATATGTTTTGGCTGCATGAAAAATGATTTTCATAGCAGTGTGCTCTTCTTCCCCGTCCCGCTGCCATCTTTTATCATATTCATAAAACTTTAGCAGCTCTTTTCTGCCGCCTCTCCTCCATTTCTGGTGCTTATCCCGTCATATCCATTACTCTGTTTTTTATTGCTTGGAAAAATAACCCGAAATGTCGACGCTGGCCCACCATGTCTCCATATTATGATGTCAGCTGTAAATTGAAGTAGATATATAAAAACACAAGCTACTGACCGGCTAGTATAGTTTTGTTGGATTGATATGGCACCGTTTACCTCTTAAAAAATCAACCGCACTTTACATTTGCATCAACACACACATTATCATAGGCTAATTGGTTTGCTTCGCCCGCAGCTACGTCTTGCTGCCAAGATAAACTTCTCACCTAGCTTAGGCCAATCACAGTGCATGATACGCATCCGAGAAACTTCATATGTTTAGGCCCAGCGAAACGTTTGTCCACAGCTCCCACGCAGTGCACGTGACCTCTCGAATGAACTCAAGTGGGCCCATGTTCATCCTCGAGCAGTGAGCTAAACACACGAGGTGACGGTGTAGCGAGGAGACGACCTCGCTAACGCGGTCATGGAAGTATGTCTCTCGACGTGTGCGTCGTGTTGCCTCGAGCGTAGGTGAGGAACCAGTTTCCTACCAAAGAGCCGAGCGACCAAATAAGGAGACGACCCACGACGACACGTATGCAAGGCTCCGAGGTGTCGCACGAGTCAACACGCGCGCATCCTAGCTCGCACTGTGAGACCGGCCATGTGCTATATCCAGGCAAAAAGACGGCCTGCCACAGAGCCAGCAGGAGATCGATCGAGGTGAAGAAACCATCCGGAGATCCCGGGCGCGCGCACGAGCCGCTTCACGTCCTCGTCTCGTCAACCGGGAAAATCACTGCTCGGCAGCCGTGCGCCACGTTCGCCGCGCGAATTTGCTGCCTCGCGCGTTGATGATCAGGCCGGCCGCGCGCGTAGCTACGCATATGGCGCCGTGGCACGCGGGGCGGGGGGCAAGTGCCAGCGGCCAGGGGCTCTGCGCCTCTGCTGCAGCAGATGCTTGCCCATGTTGCGCCGGTGCCACTGCCAATTAGCTGGTGGGGGCGCGGCGCGTTAAACTCGGTGTACGTGCTCTGGCATGGCATCTAGCCGTGCATGCGATGCTGCCTGGCCCCCTGCCACTGTACGCAGATAGTTACGTGACAAGGAAAATCCTGTGTGGTACGATCGAACGAAAGTGTGCGCATAGCATGGAAATATGGCAGCCAGCTGCTCAATCCGATGGCTGCTGCACATGACGGCATTCAAGCTTCGGATAAGCGAAACAGCGTAAACTGATTTCTCCCCTAACTATACTGATGTGCTGTACAGTTACTATTATATGACTGGCTGCTCAGCTGTTATTATTACATATATAAACAAAGCCTACTAAAAGCCAAAAAAGTTTAACACGATAACCAAAATAGTTTAACACGATAAACAAATTATCAATGTAGAGTACCGAGCTTTCTACCGGCTATGCTTCTGACGTCTCTCGAACAATCAGCATGATGTGGTCCTCAAGGGGAAGCCCCATCAATCCAAAGACTCCTACGTCGCTATGTTGAAAATGCAACGTTATGGGCGGAACGAATGAATGATAAAGAACGCCTTGTAAAATTACGCAGTGGAAACGCTGCTTCTCGTCTGCTCTCTCCCTAATGTAATGCTTTATGACTATTATCACTCTGTAACTCCAACTTTATCCATCTCAATAAAAATTCAGGTGGGAAACTCTCTCCCCGGTGAACATTAAAAAAAAATCAACATTATGGCTAATATATATCAAGAAAAGCGTGCTATCCACAAGATTTTTAACCAAGTCTTATCAGTAGTCCACAATATCCGCGCCACCCTATGTAGGTACTCCATATTACTGACAGTAGAGATCCCAAAATGATTGAACCTCAATTCATACATTTTTCATCAGTGGCTATCTAAGATGATCAGTTCGTTAGTGGCTTTGCACATCAGCACATCATACCGATCAACCAGCTGAAAAGATTCAGACCAATTCTATCCATCCAAAATGTGCTGATCCTCTTGTATCTCCAAGACCAAAATTGGAAGTTTGGAACTTGGGGACTACATATATTCCCCCCATCGAGCGTCCGAACTCCCAAAGCGGCATGTGATTTCACAGTCCCAAAGCACATGCCATATGGTCCATTAGATTATACAACTCCTGCCAGTTTTTGTCCTTCGCAGTCATGGCATTCTAGAATCAAGAAACAGGCCGGTTAATGATCTCTTTCCCTCGTCAGAACCCTACCCCTGAATGCAGTAGTAGTTGTAACAGTAGTAAAGTGACTTTCCTGCGATGAATATATATCACTCCTATGGTAGTAGTACAAGCTTCTGTATAGTACTTCTATCTACCGTCACCAAGCTGACAGATTGACCAGCAACGGATGGATCAATCGATCGACAGGCCAGGCCAAGAATCGGTTGAGGAGCAGCATTGTATAGCACCCATGCAGAATCTCGATCGAGCCGGGAGTCATTCCTCCACAGTGTCGCAGGACCATTATCCAGCCAGCGCAGACACGCCACCCATTTTAATGGCAGCATGTGCCGATGGAGTAGCTTCGTTCTTGGCGTGACATTTGGGCCATCATGCCATCACTGCCATGCAGGAACGCGCTGTGTGTTTAGCAAGATTCTCGCCGTATTTTCTTCTTCGTCAGTTCGTCCTCGTCGTCATCATCTTCTTCTTCTGATCTTCTCAAAAGGGCTCCACTGATCAGCATATATGCAGGCAGTGATGCAGAGTCATTGAAGGCTCCCAGTGCAGCCCGGCCGGCCTCAGCTATGAACTCCATCTTTTCCTGTTCCTGTTCCTGTTCCTACTTGGACGATGCTGCTAGTAGTAGTACTTTACTAGCTGCTACTTTCTCCCTTGAAATAACTCCGGTCTCAGTCGGTGTGCAGAGACATGGCAGGAGTGGAGAAATATGGAGACGATAAGGTCAAATGCATGCATCCATGTCCGTCCATGGCAAGGAGGCCGGCGAAGCATCATAATTCAGAAAGGCTATCAGCAGCGTACTGTACAGTGCAGGCAGAGTGTGCAGCAAAGAGTTACTGCGAAATGCAATGCCCATAGATCCGTGTTGAATGATATAAATATCGTTTTATTATCAGCTGGTACATAGTATTGATTGACAAATTGACCAAACCCGCAGTAGTACATTTCTATTTTTTCTTATCAATGGCGCGAGAAAGAGAGGGAGATAAGTGGGGGGGGGGGGGGGGGGAGAGATAGATCAATAGCCCAGATCTCAAAAGGGAAAGAGAGAGAGGAGGAAGAAGAAGAACAGCAAAAGGTTATTACACTGAACGAGAGAGAGAGAGAGGACCACGGCCTATACGTACGTACGTGTATAAATTTGATGGGATTTAACCGCTCGTACGCGCGCACATGCACCCCGTCAGCCTCCGCATTTATCGCGGCCGCGGCCACGGTCGCTCGCTGCCTTTTTCCGGTTACGCGCCACGGTCGGGCGGAGTACGTACGTACGTGTCACCGCGCGCGCGCAGACGCAGACGCACACTGTCACCTCGTCGGCGTACGACGTCGCGCAGCTAGTGCTTGAGCACCTCCGGGATGTCGACGGGGTACCGGCAGATGCTGTCGGCCCATGGCCCGTCGGCGTTGCGCGCCGGCGAGATGCACTCCCACGCGGCGCTGTTGCACTTGAAGCCGGAGCCGAACCCGATCATCCACACGCGGTCGCCGGGGCGCATGCGGCCCTTGGCCTCGATGTAGGCCAGCTCGTACCACACCGAGCTGCTCGACGTGTTGCCGAACCGGTGCAGCGCCATCCGCGACGCCTCCACGTGCTCGTCGGAGAGCCCCAGGCTGCGCTGCAGCTCGTCGATCACCGCGCGGCCGCCGGCGTGGATGCAGAAGTGCTCGAACGCCATGCGGAAGTCCGGGAGGTACGGCTTCACCCGCCGGTTCAGCACCCGCCGCGCGATGAAGGACAGCGCGAACAGGAGCTGCTCCGACGCCGGCAGGACGAGGGGCCCGATGGCGGTGATGTTCGCCTTGAGCGAGTCGCCGGCGATGGTCATGAGGTCCTTGGAGAGGTTGATGCCCCGGTGTCCCTCGCCGTCCTCCTCCTGGAACACGCACCGGTACGCGCTGTCCTGGGCGCCGGTCAGCGTCCGCACGACGCGGGAGAGGCGGAACCGTGCCTTGGCGCGCGACGTGGACAGCAGCACGGCGGCGCCGCCCATCCGGAAGAGGCAGTTGGGCAGGAGCATCGCGCGCTCCTTGCCGACGTAGTAGTTTGGCGTGATGGTCTCCGTCGACACGACCAGCGCGTGCGCGCCGTGCGGCGCCACCTGCAGGAAGTTGCGGGCGAGGCCGACGGAGATGAGGCCCGCGCTGCAGCCCATCCCGGAGAGGTGCACGTTGCGGATGTCGCTGCGCATCTTGTAGTTGTTGATGATCATGTCGGTGAAGGAGGGGATGGGCGCGAAGAGGCTGCAGTTGACGACGAGGATGTCGATCGCGGCGGGGCTGATGCCCGTCTTGGCGAGCAGGTCGTCGATGGCGTTGAAGATGACGACCTCCACTTCGGCGCGCGACGCCTCCAGGTTCCGGTACGGCGGGATGAAGTGGTGCGCCGGCGGCAGGCACGTCTCCTCCCCGAGCCCCGACCGCTCGAGCAGCCGCGTCATGAACCGCACGCTGCGCTCGTCGATGGACGCGCCCTCCACGTACGTCACCAGCTTGGCGTGCTCGAGGAACGTGGCGAACGGGACGCGGCAGTTGGGCTTGGTGCGGAAGCACGCGTAGTCGACGAGGTACACGGGGCGCGGCCGCAGCATGAGGTACAGCGTCGCGGCCGCCGCCGGCACGAACGCTGCCAGGAAGACGTGCACCGGCCGCAGCGCGCGCACCATCCGGAGCAGCTCGTCCGGCCCGACCCGCGCCGCGTTGACGATCGCCGCCACGGCCAGCGGCGCGGCCATCACCACGAGGAAATTGTTCACCACATGCTGGTACAGCGGCTTCAGCCGCTTCAGCTGCGCCGACGACGACGACGAGCTCATTCTGCCGGTGGAGGCGGCGGCGGCGGCAATGGCTCCGATCAGCAAGTGGGGAGTGTGGAGTGTGGTGCACTCGATCGGTGAGTCGTGGAGGGAAAGAAGAGTGGAGAGAATTTAAAGCGAGGCGGGCAACGAATTTAACGCACGTTGGTTGGGGGCAGCGTGGGGGTGTCTTTACTCGCAACAGGTCCGTGGTAGCGAGGCGCTAGCTCATCGGTGGGCTGGTTCACCGATAAATCTGATGAATTGATGCTGCTAATTTAAGACCGTGTTCGATTGTCTTCGTCCTCGCTCGTAGTAGATACCTGCTAGGCTCGTCATTTCTAGTGAAAATCCCTATGCGTGTTATAGATAGTCACTAGGTATTTTGCTTTTCCTGCAACGATTAATGACATATTCAACTGCTTAGGCGGTCCGGCCCAGAGCCAGCACGGACGATACGATCACACTGGACCTCCAAAAATTAAGGGCCTCTAAAATATATATACTATATGGTACCAGGTCTGATAGAGTTAGAGAAAAGACAAAAGACCGATCGGCAGAAAAGATAAAAGACCGATCGGCGATCGAGCATATGCTTGACTTCGTGAGACGCAGAGACGGCGTGTCGCTGCGACGCCACCCGGCCGCCGCGGCCCGCAGTCACAGCAGATTGTGAGTTCGTGGCTACTTGCTTGTCATGCCCATCCCATTGCCCGATTGCTTGCATCTCTAATCTCTTCGTGACTGCCACAGTCTGCAGGTTCAATTCAAAATCTTCCTCAATCATCTTCCCTTGTCTATATTTTCCCTACCTAAGAGTTAGATGTAATCAAACTAAAATAGCATATATGTTTTCTTATTATATTATTCAAATATATTAAAATGACAACATAAATTTTACAATAACTTTACAAAACTACTAACGTGTAATATTCATATTATATTTTATATACGGGTTAGTTATTAATTATTTTTAATATCAAATTTTAGTTATTTGTAAACTATATATATTCTTATATGGACCCTAGACTCGTCTTTTAATATTTCTTTTTTTTAATTCCGAATTTTCTGTAAATTATATTTCTATATAGACTTTATGCTCTTCTTCCAATATTATTTATTTTTATTTCTAAATTTTCATATTATATTTTATATACGTGTTAGTTATTAATTATTTTTAATATCAAATTTTAGTTATTTGTAAATTATATATATTCCTACATGGACTCTAGACTCGTCTTTTAATATTTCTTTTTTTTAATTCCGAATTTTCTGTAAATTGTATTTCTATATAGACTCTATGCTCTTCTTCCAATATTATTTATTTTTATTTCTGAATTTTTATTATTTCTAATTGTATTTCTATGTGGACTCTAAACTCATTTTTCAATATTCTTTAATTTTTAATTTCGAATTTCAATTACTTCTAAATTGTACTCCTATATTGACCTTAAACTCTTCTTCCCATGTTTTTCTTAATTTCGTTGTATATTGTATTTTTATACGGAATCTAAACTCTACTTTTAATTTTATTATGTTTATCCCAAATTTTAGTTAGTTTTAAATTGCTACATGGACTCTAGTCTCCTCTTCTAATATTCCTTATTTTTTAAAATTCTGAATTTCAGCTATTTTCTAATTGTATTTCTATATGGACTCTAGTCTCCTCTTTTAATATTCCTTATTTTTTAATTTCGAATTTCAGCTATTTCCTAATTGTATTTCTATATGGACTCTAGTATCCTCTTCTAATATTCCTTATTTTTTAATTCCAAATTTCAGTTATTTCTAAATTGTATTTCTATATGGACTCTAGTCTCCTCTTCTAATATTCCTTATTTTTTAATTCCGAATTTTAGCTACTTCTAAATTATATTTCTATATAGACTCTGCTTTTCTTTTTTTTCGATTAATGTGAGAATTTCTAGACCATGAGAGCGAACGTGGAGGCTTCTTTTTCTATTCCTTTAATAATATAATAGATTTCGATTTTTATATCAATGATAGTTTTCAATTTGTAGGCAAGGCGGGATTGAGCAGAGGCTGCTGGATGAGATTGATATCGACACTATCATCACTGATTTTGCATCTAGAACTGTTAGAAGAAATTGTTTTAAATGATCTAGAGACATTTCCTTTTTGTATTTTAAACCTATTAGTGTGAAATTCGTTAATTTCAATGAGTTTTTAAGTATTATCTTGTATTTTTATGGTGAATAGGGGCCTTCATTTTTTGTTCCGCACTGGGCCACCAAAAAGTCAGGGCTGGCCCAATTAGGCCCGTACTATTCAACGATTAACAGCTGGTCAATAGCTAGCTTATGAAAATATAGAAAAACTTGGTTTTCCAGCTCCTGGCTTCTAGTTTATTTTTTGAATTCTGTAACTACAGTTTCTTAGAAAATTTGGATCAAATGCTGGATTGTTTTGCGGAACTACTAAGCAAAAGCTCCCCCAAACAGGCCCATAACTCCTAGGTTTTCAATAGAATTTAAAACTAATCAATTCATTTCCAAACATACTTTGCATGGTTCACATTGCCGTTTTTGAGGTGAAACCTGCATGATTTTTATAAACTGGACCCCGGTGATTTCATTTTCACGAAAACCCCTAGGGATTGTAAAACTTCATGCTTTATCCACGTGCATAGCTAAAAGTAAGGTATTTTAGGGAGATGGAGTATGTAGTAGTGTTGATCATTACCGAGGTCTTATTTCGGACAAATCATTCATGGAGGAAGTTTGAACGAGTTCAGTTCTATCGAAAGTTTTTATGTATAGCCTTTGGATCAAAGTAATTCCTTTAAAAAATCCAAAAAGAATTCATTTTTATTGGTTGAAAACATAGGGATTTGCGAGGAATTTTAACATTTGGTCTAGCCTCTTGGAAAAAAATACTTTTATTATCAATTTCTCTTTTAATTGCTATGTTTTTTCATGCTACATCGAAACAATCATTCATATAATTTCCCTGCGCTTTTTTTTCAATTAATAGGATTTGAGTGCCCGATTTGAGGTGCTAGGGCACTCTAATCCTGCAACTTTTTTTCCATGAAGCCCGAGTAATATTTTTTTGCCTTATTTGGAACAAGAGAATAAAAGAATACATGGATTATAAAAATGCACAAATGATATATGTGTAAAATTAGGGCATGTTTCAATATGAGAATAGTACGAGGAAAAGCAAAGGAACCTAAGAAAGTTGTTGGAAATTTTGTTTTTGTTCACTTGTTTCGATTGGAGGAATAGAGTAAAGGAAAACTAAGAGGCTGTTTGGATGGCACCTTACTCCTTTACATCATACTTATCACTCCTCTTCTTTATTGTCATTAGAGTAAATTGCAACTGATCATCGGTGGGGATTTTATGTGTTTAATCGATAGAAATCCTTTTGGATGGGGAAGGATAAGATGTGTCGTCACTAGCTAATCCATCATCCTGCGTGCCAAGTTGTATGTGCCATGATTCAGGATGTTCCCGCTATATATGTACTCTCTCCGTCCCAAATTAAGTTCATTTCTCACTCATTCTACACATACTATCACCAAACCAAAACAAAAAAAAAGACTATAATACCTCAACTTTATCAAATCATAATGCAATTATTCCTCTCTTTATCTACTCTGAATACATTTTTATCCTACTTTCACAAACTTCAATACAATGACAAATGGAAGGGTCTAAAAATGAACTTATTATTGGATGGAGGGAGTAGGTGCCTCCCTGCCTAAGCAAATCGGCGATTGGTTCCTGTGGTTTGTGTGCCTGACAATCAGCCATTCCGCATTTACGTGAGGACTGTTATGTGTTCAAGTTTATGTATCACATGGTATATAAGTGTAGAATTTGGATACGAATCAAGGAAGTTACTATGTTCTATATTTATTTGTAGATCCTGATATGGTAGATTCTGATTTTTCAAAAGATAGTAGTAATTTACTATGTAAACGATAACAAATTTTGCACCATCATCTATTGCAAAAAATACTAACTCCCACCACATCTGTAAGACAACGGATCAGACACGGATTCATACTACCTCCGTCCTAAAATAATTTAATCTAGTACTGGATGTGACATACTATGAATCATCCAATACTAGATTAACTTATTTTGGGACAGAGGAAGTATATGGCAACAACAATTATAAACAAATTCAAACACAAACAAACTCAATAACCCAATCCTTTTTGTATATGCTTTCACTAATTCCTAAAGTGGTCTTGATTCACCCTCCAATAAATAGTAGCAAACAACACAATAGAACAACCAATCTGAATAGCAACACATGTCTTGTAACCAACACAACGGAGTCACCGCCAATCATGACAACAAAAGAACAGGTCTATGTTGAATGCACCATAGTCACTGGATTTTGCCTTTTCCAATTTTTTTCATCCTTCACCAAGGACTTTTGGTGTGTGTGTCGTAGAAATGGGAACTAGGGTCCTCATCATCAGTTACTTGGGGGCACATCCGCCCTCGAGGCGTGGCCTCCCGTGGGCTGTACTCGGGGCGGATCAGCCCCTGAGCGTGCCCCCCTCGTGGGCTCTGCTCGGGGCACTTCTCTCCTCGGGCACGATCCCTCGTGGGCCGTGCTCGGGAATTTCTCTCCTCATACGTGGTCCCTCGTGGGTTGTGCTCGAGGCATTTCTCTCCTCAGGTGTGGCCCCCGTGGGCTGTGCTCGGGGCATCCAACTCTTCCTCACCAACCCCGCAAGCTCAGAGACAGTGAAGACATAATCAAACATTACACATCCCGTCAACGACATGGGAGGCATGGCAGCGCCTGTAGTGCACATCACCGTGGAGAAAAAGGATGCACAACATGTCACCCCCTCAGTATCCATTCCACGCACCTCCCTTTCTACCTTCCGTGGAGGTAGACAGGTGGGCCCGTGGATTGCTGAAATGAAGAAACTTTTGACTTATTCGCTCCATTGCACCCGTCGGTCGACTTGAACTTCTCTTTGCTAGTTCAAGTCGACTAGAGCCGGCCAATGGCTAGAACAAGTCAGTTCAAGCTGCTTCGCACTACTGTTGCTAACAGATTCAAGTAAAAATCTTAAAAATCTTCCCTTGGAATTAAATAAATACGATACCTTGGAATACTTCTAGGTAAAATGCTACAATGGTATATCTATGCTCTTGCGGATTATTTCTATTATCATAAATATACCGGGACTAT